CCAGCAAATATCTACTACATTTAAGTCAGCTCCTCATTTTTCTAATAAGTGTAGAGGCCAAGTGCTGTGAATCCCCCTCCTGTATACCCGATCTGTCAAGGGAATGATGCATTACAGCATTTAGTCCTCACCAATGACCAGGTGGAAGTCAGAAAGTGCAAGTAAGGAGCTGTTTAGTGAGCGAAGATACCCTACTTCAAACACAGAGTGAATAACTGAAATGATTGCTCATTTTTTTTATTAGAGATATTAGTTTTCAATAGCACAGCCTTTACAATAATATGAAGATTGTACCATTATAATATCAGTTCATCCTTAGATTTGCCTTTCTGCAGAGGAGGAGGCAATCGACAAGTTATATTTACTAATTAATCTGGGGATGTCTTGCTAGTTTAAATGAGAATCATGAAAAAATCATTTATCTATAGTTCTGGGATAGGCTCTGGGTTGCCACGACCCTTGCAAGGATTAAACGGTTTCTTGATAATGGATGGATGGACAAAGCAGAATTTGTTTTTATTACGTCTATGGAAGAACATATAATAACGAAACAGAAAATTATGGGGGCTGTAATGCCATTCCAGGAAATGAAGTACATAAAAAAATTGTGCTTCACACACATGCTTTATTGCTTTATCAGATCCCCTTGATGGGATTGCAGTATTATTTATTGTGAAAATATTTACACAGAGAGAGATCACTCAGATGTAATGCAAGTTCCAGGAGCAAGACGCAAGATTACAGACATACCTAAATATGAGTCACCTACTTCAGGAATGGTCATGCCCCAACACTATCAAGGCCTTCAATGCTCTAATTTAGAAGGTTTTTAATAAACATATCTTTTAAATCTTTGAGTGTAGGAAACTAAAAATACTTATGGGAGCATGGGAGGATAGGAGGAACATGGGGGAGGTTTCTTTATCATGAAAATGTCTGAAAAACAATTCTGCTGCATATGAATCTGGTTATTTCTGGTAAATGTAGCCATAGAACATAATTTGTCTTACAGGTTGACAACATTTAGATATTTAGATATTTAGATATCTCTGTTGTACAGAAGATAAAAAAAAACATTACAGTACATTATTTTTCCACCTTCATAGTTCTGCTTAATATTAATCTTTAATGTCTTATAGTAAATATCCTTTGAATCACTGGAAAAATGCTCTTTAAATCTAGATAGATAGATAAGACTTTATTGATCCCGAAGGGAAATTAAAGTACTTAATATTAGTAAGGCAAACTATTAAAAGCAAACTATACACAGTATGTGTGTTTTGGAAGACATTTTATGCCAAAAATGTGGTGGTGAAAAGATAGAGTAGTTGAAAATGGAAGTGGTTAAACAATGGTACTTTTATTTATTTTTTTCATTTTCATTTTTAAACATTTAGACCACAAAACTATAAAGTTAACTTCTATTTTTGCTTTCCAGTGTTTCTATTTTTCCATAATGAGTGTGCTCTTTATGTTTTATCCTGCTGTGTACATATTTATCATGTTTATCATACCTGTAAACATACGGCTATTTAGATAATAATGATAACCCAGGATCACAACAAATTTGCAGCACCTGTTCAACAAAACAAAAAATTGAAGTCTTAAATTTTTACTTTTACAAGATGGATAATATTTCATTTTTATGGCATAATAAGGTACCGTATTGAGAGCTAAACTTTTAAACTGGTACAGTAAATATCAATGAGTAAAAAATCTTCAGAAGGAAAAAAAAAGTAACCACAACTTATGCTGTTGCCTTACAGCAATGAGGCCCTAGTTGTGCTCTCTGTGTGGAGTATTATAAGTTCTCCCCATGGTTTGCATGAGTTTTCATGCTCCAGCTTCCTACCACAATCCACAGACGTACTGCTAGGTTAATTGGCATTCCCTGATGTGATTGTGTGCATATTTATAATAAGAAGAAAAAGAATTAGTGCCTGTTGGTTTCTGGGATATCAGGCTCTGTTTCCCTCACTACTTTGGATAAAGTAGTTAGAAAATGGATGGACAGACAGATGGAAGTCACACTGTTCACTGTTCAACTCCTTAGCTTAATTGCTTTAACCCTTATGATTTTAAAAAAAAAATGCACATGAAATATTGATTTGATGGTTGCCAGCTGGTCTGCTAGTATTGAGAATATTTACTGGGAAAATTACTGATCTGAGTGGAAAATTAAGTGGATACATTTTACTCCCAGAAGAAATTACATTAGTAAATGTCAGTTTTTGTTTTTGATATCTGAAAATCTTTAACATAAGCTTTAGTCTTTTTATTTTACTGTATTTTTAACTTGCAACATAGTGCAAAACAGAATCTTTAAAATATGTCATATATTTTTTTAATTTAAACTCAATTGTTGCAGTTACAATTTTCATGTTGACATTATACAACTAAAAGGCTTAGAGTTAGGGTTAGGGGATTTAGCTTACAAAGATTAAGTTTGAAATTTCCAGGATTTTAAAACAACTGAGATTTCTTTTTGCCCAAGAATCAGGTCTGAAATAGAAGAATGTTATAGAATGCACAAGAGCTTATTGGCACAAGACATTTGTTTTCTTAATAAACATACATTTAAAGCATATCTCTGGTTTTTCCTGATCATACAGACAGAACAGATGATATACTATAACAATATGATAAAGAATGTAAGTAATTTCTTAGAGGAACAATGTAACATTTTAATAAAACACACATTATATCTTGTCATGAGCCAAAATCCAGTAACATGCTATATTTAAACATAATTTGACAGAAAGCATATTACGATTTACCAGAGAATAAACTATCTGTGTTCAGCTTGCTTCACTGATTCTTCTGCCACCTTTAAGTGCAATTTTGATCCCAACATAGCATAAGAAAGAGACTTCAGAACTGCTCTTCGCCTACACAGGAAACATACAGTATCTGATTCTTCTGCCACCATTGAAATAAGTTATATCAATTAGTGCTCATTAAGGTCCATGAACTTTAATTGTTTTTGAAAAATTAAAGTTTTCTGGGGACCCTAGACAAGATCTTGGAAATGGGCCCCTCCAGATCATGATTTGCACTTTAACCACCTCCTGACAAACCTCATTTTACTATTTAGAACAATTGAATAAATTAATTATATAACTAGAAAACATATTAACCAGCTTTGAAGAGCACATAATAGATAAGTTACAAAAGAGAGCAAGAAGCACAGATTCTGTGCACAGGATCTCTGTTATTTCACAATTACAGCAAATCATAACTTACAAATTACTGCACTGAAACCTTTGTGGAAAGGAATTGTAGAAATATGCATTTAGGTAAGAAATAATTACATTCAATAACAAGGGAGGTGAGATTACTAAGGCTGAGCAGACTGTAAAGTTTTATTTTAAAAAAACATTCTAGAAATCAATTTGCCTAGATTTCGAGAGGCAAAATCATCAGTTACATCTTCAAACGACAGTAGTTGACCCACTGCATGACTGATGCCCATGATGGCCAGTCCAGTGAGATGGTATTGTGCCATGGATGACCTCAGCTATGTTTTAATCAGCTTTAGTTCTCTGCTCTGATCCTGCCACTGTTACTGCCCTAGGTAGTCACCTTGTTGGTCTATGACCAGGACCAACCATGGCTTATCTTCTTGTCTTCCTTGGAAATTTCTAAGTAATTAAAAGCATATGGGAAAATTAAGGAGCATTTTTACATTTTAATGTATGTTATTTTATGTTCAATAAAAAATGGAATACAACACAATAATAAATCATTTGAAAGCAAGACAGTCTCAAGAAAATGTAGCAATGTGATTTACTTTAACATCCCTTTCTGCAGGAGAAGATGGTCAATGGCTATAATCCAAAGGCATCTTATCCTTTAACTTAAAAATAACCAATTTGTTCCTCAAGCGTAGTGCTCATCTTAGACTTCAATATGTTAACCATGCTTGTTGCACTGTGGCAATGCTGTGTGTTCCCTTTACAACATAATTTAGGCACTATTACCCTATGAGATAATGTGCTTTCATAGAAAAACTCCATATATACTGCAAATTGTATCAAACGATGCTTGCAACTCTGAGAAAAAGTGCATAATTGTGAACAAAATAAGAACACTGGTATAACATCACCAACAACAAAAATATTAATTAACTGATGTTTTATATTGCCTTTTTGGTTTATGTACTGTATATGTATGATGTCTTTTTTGTGAGCAAGGATTAATATATTTTATGAATAAGACATATATACATGTTTTGTATAAGGATTTGTGATAATTACATTGAGCCTTACTTGTTATTTTATAAATCCACGCTCTTTAAATAATTGGAATACAACCCATTGTTTTGATTAAAGCAGTCATGGCTTGGAATAAAAGCTTAGATTCAATTCACAATACAGTTGTGAATACAGGGAGCTTGGTTTAAAGTTTGGTGGTTTCATATTATTTTTCTTCATACTAAATGAACCTGAAGCATTATTTTTTAAGTCTAATTCTTTACATAAATATTAAAGAATCTTGGGTCACGTTTATCTTCTCTGACAGACCATATTGTGTTCATTGATTGAACATGTACAGTACTGTACATACAGTACCATGAGTCTCCTAAGAAAAATATTACAAGACAGCATTATAAATAAAAAGCAAGACTTTACTTATACTGTATGAAAGAGCTCACTGCATACAGAGCTTCAAAAGTATGAATGCCGAACGTTTTTATGAAGAAGAATTCCAAAAGCAAACTTTGAGAAGTTAACAGTCATTAACAGTCTGCAGTTAATGGTTTTACTAAATGGTATGTTGTGGTAAGTCCCACAACATACCAGGTAATAATCATGCTGATGGTACAAGACTCAGCTCTCCAGCAGCAATTCTCTATTCCCTCTCATGCTTGTTGAAAGTTGAGGAGAATGAATGTCGGAGACTTGCTTGTCTGACACACTCACCTGTAGTGGCATTTGTCACTTGGCCCAGATTGTGAATGCATTACAATGCATCTCTTTCTAATGTCACAGGCGTTAGTGTCTGCCAGACAGCTGAAAGGTCCTTGGTTGTCTAATTGCATCCCTACCCTTCCAGTGCTCTAACAGCTGTGAATCACCACTTGGGAATTCTGGTCTTAACTTGGTTGTGACACAAGCCAGGGTCGGGTTACCTGGTAAATCTGGATCATGGAACTCACCTGCAATCTGGGTAAGCTTTTAATGGATGAGTTATGTAGAGCCTTGGTGGTACATCATGGTATGCAATGCAGACAAAGTACTGTATATAATATGACCCAGTAGTCAGAAATTTAGTTTAACATGTCATCTGAAGGATAATATCTCCTTTGGAATAGTGTTCCCTATAGTTGGGTAATTTAGGTCTAGGGGGAATAAATACTTACTGACCCATCAACACCACTTATAACAGCAACCTTTTCTTCCCTAGGGGTCTTCCAACCCCTAATGATTTATCAATGATTTATCATATATAGCTGATAACAACCACAGTGGTAAAGGTAAGATATATACAGCACGTCTCAGGTACTAATGAGCATTCAAGTAAGGAAGCTGTAAACAGTCCATATTAGCAGATTGTCATTTTTCAGGGCTTTGCAGCGCTGGACCCTGGGCTCAAGTCCTAGTGTGCTATCTGTGTGGAATTTGTCTGTTCTCATAGTTTTTCCACAAGTTTCCTCCTCCTGCTCCAGCTACCTACCACAGTCCAAAGACATGTAGGTAGGTTAGTTAGCTTCTGGGAAAACTGGCCCTGGTGGGATTGTGTGCATGTTTGAGTTTGTCTGTGTGTGCCCTGCGATGGTTCCTGTCCAGGGTGTATCCTGCTTTATGTCTATTGTTTGCCGGGAAAAGCTCCAGCTCCTCCATGACCCAGTATTGGAAAAAGCAGTTAGAAAATGAATGGATGGATATTTTAAGAAAAATGTTACCATTTAACTCAAGAACATAACCTTGTTTCACCCACTGATTTTGACACTGGTTTAATTTCTGAATAAGCACTGTGGTTTCCAAGTTTTTTTAATGCACTTTAAAATGCAATATTACTATTCATGCAATTTCATGAGTAACTTTACAAATTCTCCACAGGAAGCTCTCTTTGCAGCAGATGTGTTCCTGAAATAGGCCAGGTAATTCAAATCATATAAATTAAAACATATAGAATAATTTCCAATTAATATACAGGTATATACTGTACAATACATGTTGATGGGTTCTGACTTCATTTCCAACCAGAGTGGTTTATTAAGGAAAATGCATTTATTTACATAATATGTTGATACAGCTTTAATAAAATCATTTTCAACTAAAGATTTGTTCTTATTTAATGCTTTCATTCAAAATGAGAAGGCAATGTGTTGTCAGTGGTGGGTGGTGAGTCATGTGTCCATCTGGACTCTGCAACTAACTTCAGATATTTTACCCACAGTGAGCCTTATGACATTTATCTTTAAGTTTTGGAAGTAACATTAGTTTTTTTTTCCTTTTGTGTTTTAGCTGATTATTAAATGTATCCTGTTTTATTTATCATTTATAATCATTTAACTCACAAACTGTTTAGCTGTACAATTTTGTTTTGTTTTATTTTTAAAAATGGCTTCACATTTTATTTAAATATTCTTTGCATACAATTTCATTTTTAAGATTTATTTTACACTATATCTTCATTTAATTTTATTTTAGATTTTACACAATATAGACATAAAGGCCAAAATAAGACAAAGATGTTCAGTGAATATATTTACTGTATTAGGTGTGAGACAAAGGAAAATGAATGAAGGCTGTAAGAACACTGAGACAGAGATTACCCAGCTGCCTGTTTGTCATCAGTATTCATCCCTGAATGCAACTGGGTGTGAACCATAAATATTGTCTCAAACACTCCATCATGTTGTAGAGTATGTTGCTAACCGTGTCCTAGCAAGTTAAGATGTAATCTGTAAAATGTAAAATGTAAATGTAAGTAATCTGTACAAAATTAAGAGTTGGTGCATATATATGAGCTGCACTAAACCAAAAATGCCTTAAAAGGAGAGCATAAATCAAGAACTTCCTGCACATGAAACATGTTAGCTAAAGTTTCCATTAACCTGATTTCTGGAAATCGGGCTAGTATGCACTAGACTATAGGTCTTTCAGCAGAATCAAGGTTGTAGATCTCTTTTAAAATATGTTGCAGTACATGCACAGTACATTTATCATTTTGAAAATGTTATATTTATTATTATAAATAAAGAACATTTACTTTTTTCCATTTAATTGTAATTACAATTCCTTTGCAGTTAGGTAGCAATGGTTCTGAAATATTGGCTCTATACAATAGTTTGTTTTTTAAACTTGGACTGGTGCTTGTAATCTATCATAAAGAACCAGAGCAGCACACAAGCAAAACATCAGCTATTAACAACAAGCAATATAGACATTAAAACTCCTGAAAATAATGAACTTTTCTGATGTTCTCCGACAGAAAGTCCTTCCATCGCTTTTTGTCCACTTTTTTCTATTTCAGGGTTCTGGGGGAACCGCAGTCTATCTTGGCAACCTACACATGGGACCAGGGAACAGAAAGTCCTGTGATTTAAAAGGGGGCCAAGCCCAAACTCTGCAAAAGATGGATTGGGCTCAGAATGCAAAATATTGATATTATATCAACATTACTCCGTATCTGAACAGATTAGACAAAAATCTGAAATTCTGAATAACAGCTCAGGATCATTTTCATTTTAAATTTCCTTGTATGACAGTTCATATGACTATATGAATTTTAAGCTAAACCAATCAATTTGTTGTTTCTCATCAGCTTAATGTAATGTTCAGTTTTACTTTGAATCACTGCATGATATCTGAGTGCCAGATTAAAGAAAGATGCTTCGTTTCACGATAGGGTGGTGAGAAATTCAGGACACTGAGTTAACTGGAATGAAGATGAAATCAATAGTCACATTAAAACTGGTGAAATGATAAATTGTCTTAGAAAATGGGTATTACTGTTAACTTCTGCAATGAATAAGTGGCCTTAATGAAGGGAACATTACAGAGGTATGGTAATATTGTATAGATGAAAACGAAAGTTTTCTTTCTTTTCAGAAATCATGTCCCCTTTATGCTGTGTTGTGTAGAGCGGTTTTGGATATTTAAAAAATAAAAATAAAAAAAACAATCACACAAACTTCTTAAATGGGAAAGTAAGATTTTAGACCAAATGCAGGATCAGAACTGTAAAAAATATTAAAATGTGCAACACTAGTATAAATACTGTAACTGTATTATATGTTAACAGCACCAAAGTATAAGAAGTAAAAAGAATATGCCCTTAAACTGTACCCATGGAAATCTATTGTTGCTCTAAATTTCACACCAGTTATATTTATCAGTAGTACACACCTATGGTTAATTTAAATCTCAAATTAGGAATTTAAATCATTGTCACAATCTTTATCATTAAAAACATTTCAAAAATCAAATGTTCCAATATCTCTTTTAAACTACTAGGTAATCTCTACAGATAAATTAGTTGTATTCCAAAACAAACTATTCAGCTTCAGATCAATGGTTTTTCAAAATTATCAGAGTCTATTCCTGCTTTTTCTGGGCTTGAATTAGAGTTCAGTAACACTGATGAGCCTCTCACCCAGATGGACACCTTTCTAAATTTGGGAAAGGACTTTAGCAGATCTCTGTTATTTGCTGAATATGCCAAAAATGTACTAGTCTAGGAGATAGGGCAGCTAGTCTATGGCTCAAAAGGGTCCAGTAAGGACTCTATGTGCTGCCTGATGTAGTCTTTTCTGAAATAATAGGATCTGACATGGGAATAAATGTCATTTCATCAGCAATATCCCAGTCAATCCACAAAGAAGTTTTGTATGGTAAAAACATTCCAAATCCCACCGGTAGTTAGCAAAACATTAAGTGATACTGCAAATATGAGGCAAAGAGGGTTTTTTTGGTCACACAAGACAAACTTGGAAGGGTTTGAAGTCTTACATCTAATAGAAACCCAATGCACTGGAATACTCAGTCAACACTAACCATAGTGTTAAGTACTGTATGGTGGTGGTAACATTAAATTCTGCATCTCATTAATAAGGCTTTTCAAGATGATAGGGGGGATACTGCATTTTTCATTAAAAATCTGATGGGATGGGATGATAGATGGAGCAAAGTACTGACATACCTTAGAGGAAAACCTGCTTCAGAGCTAAAACTGGGTCAAGAAATCACCTTTCAGCAGGACAATGACCCAAATCACAAGGGAAAGCTACACTGGAGTGGCTTAAGAATAGAAAGTGAACGTCCTTGAGTGACCCAGTCAAAGTCCTGACTTGAGAATCTGTGAAAAGACTTGAGAACTGCTGTCCATAAGCAATCCCCAAGCTACTTGAGTGAGCTTGAGCAAATCTGTTCAGAAGAATGGGCAGGAATTGCAACTTTGAATATAGCATTCGTGACAGTAAAAATCAAACTTTGTTAAAGAAGTTAACGATGTGAAAAACAATTATAAGAAAGAAGAAAGTTTGCATAAAATGCAGTTGTTTTATTGGTCTGACGTTGTGGAAAACAAAATATGTACTTAACATTAAACATAGTGGTATTAAAAAGGTTTGGATTTTGGTTCATACTGCAACACATCCTGGATGCTGGTACTGAAAAATTAATCCCTTGGTAGGAGAATATTCCTTTTATTTAAATAATCTCAAAACATATTCTTATCAGGATTATGTTTTCATTCTCTTTAAATCCAGGTCTTATAAGTATGATGGGACCAATTGCAATCTCTGAGCATGCATGGTAAAAATGTGGGAATAGATTGTTAATGAAAAATGCAGCAGATGGAGGATATAAACCTTTTTCCCACAAGAGCCAGTATTTGCAGCAAAATGGAAGAGAAGGGATTAAGGTCATTTTTTGCCTTTTTTTAATTTACAAATTTCTACATAAAAGAAATCATTGGCAAGTTTCCAAGTCAATTCCTGGCAAAGCTAGGAAAATGTTTAAAAGCCAGAAGAAAAAACAAAACAAACAAGAGTCCCATAATGTATCTAAATTCTGAAAACATTGTGAAAATCAAAATGAAGATTTCTAGGGGGGTAAACATTTTTAGATAGTCGTCCAGTAGAATGAACATGCTTGTTTTGTCTACCTAAAAGCCTGCATCATCAAGCGGTGCAGGTGGTGTTGGATGGCCTTCCAAAAGAATGCATTGTGACCAGTGACATTTCAATTTGACGCAAACCTTCCTGGTATTATGACAACTCGTGTGGAACCCAGCCAGTTTTGGGTGGGATTGACATTGTTGTGCTGTGGGTACATTTGGCATTTACCAAAGTGTGAAAAACCTCTAATCCCATTAAATGGGAGAACTTCCCTCTGAATGATTTAATTTCCTATTCATTGTATTTGGGCAAGGACACAAGTCAGAACTATTGTGTCTTCGTTCTTCTTGGGGTGGCAGTGGCAGACAGCGGGGACTCATCCTCGGTGTTAGACCATGACTAAAGAGAAAGCATTCATTGTTGAAAATTACTTTTAGAAACACATTTCATTTAGAAAATGGTGTCTGAAAGGAACAGTATCACTGAGAGTGGTTAACTCTTTCATTGGAAAGATATTTGATCATGTATGATACAATTTTTTATATTTGTGTGTCAAACCCAATGTCTCACTCACAGAAGTTTAACATTTTATCAATTGTAGCCATTAATTACCCAATATTTTTGTTTTTACCTAAAAGTAAATGACACATTTTGCTCACATTTAAGATTTTTTGCATAATTATCGTTTTACTTAACAATACAATTTCATATTTTACAAAAATGTTAATCTATGACTGATTTAAAATACCTTCTATTGCTATCTCAATATATTTTAAAAATCCTAAAATCAAGCCCTGAGATCATAACCATGTTTTTGATATTTGGCAGTAATTCCTGTCCATCTCCTTAGGGTTAGAAATAAGGACAGGTTCTAGTACTAGAGGAGACTAATTCTGTTTAAGAGCCAGTGCAATGTCTGTCAGCCAGACAAGAGAATCTTAGCTGAGTTTCATTTGAGTTGATAGAGATCTAATTAAATTTAGTACAACTGTTGGTATGTAGTATCTACAGTAGCTATGTTGTATCAGAAATTTTGTTTTGTTTAGTTTTTTTTTATTTCATGGACTTGCCTGAAACTGGTGAAACAATTCAAAAATCTGTATTTATAGATGTTGGAATCCAGATTTTGATGATATATGGGGATAACAAAACCAACATGTAATTCAGTAATAACCTATTTGGTTTTCACAATCACTGATAACCATGCTATGAGAAAACAAGAACACGCACAAACTGGCGCCTACTGTATGTGAATGTAGTGTCTGAGCCACACAGTAGTGAAATAGCTGTAAAAACAGCTTTGTTTTTTAATTAAAAAAAGGGTATTGTATTTTTTTTAAGTTGAGTATCGTTTTACTAGCTTTTTATATCTAATTTATTTTAGGTGGATACTTTTCTGGAGAAATTTAGGTAAAGTACCTCAATCAAGGGTCCAACGAGCAAGTCCCATCAGGGATTTGAACCCACAAGTCCAGAAGTCCAGAACCCTAACCACTTCTCCACACTGCTGCCATTTTTGTTTATTTTGCTTGGAGAATGTATATTTAGATTGTTTAATATTTCATGTAGTAATAAATAAGGCTTCTCTCTAATCTACATGTGTTTAGCATAAAAATCACTCTTGATGCATAGATGTTTTTTTGTAAAAATAAACAGATTTTGTTTTATTAAATCCTTGATTAACGTCTTTGCTGTAATTGTGATTAATTAATCAATCATGGCTGACCGCTACACAGTCAATGACTTTGATATTGCATAAGAGCTAAATCACTTCATTAGTGAGAGAGTAGATTGAGCACCGGTGATGAAATGTGTTATATACACCACTTATCTAGAGATCAATGTTCAAATCTGGAATAATCAGTATGCTGTCGTTGTTTTAACATGAAACAATTTCTGATTTGAAAACTACTGTAACTGCAGTGTTGTGCTGCCGGAGTTATCAGCATATGACCCAAGTTACATTCTTTATGTGGCTACTCATGTACTTCATTTTGTAATTTGTAGAAATGTAAATACAGCAAACTCAAGAAAAGGCTGCTACAATAAGAGTTCTGTATTCTTCATTTCTGTCTCTGAGTGCTACAGCAACAGCATTCAAGTGTGGCCAAAAAGGTATCTGGGTTATTATATTTATCCTTTGAACCTCAACTGAAACATCTATTAATGTACAATAAATCTTTTCCAAAAGTATAGAAGGAATGAAGACCGGATATTTCACATTTGTAAAATAACAGGCATTCACCAGCAAGGAATTTAATTAACCATGCATTATGTAAAATATGTATAAATAAATGGCTTTTTGACAATGGATGAGTGGATTATAAATAAGCCTGATAAATGGGATTTACATAAACTGCAAAAATAAGAAAAGCACAGTGTAATAAAATCAAAATCCCCAAAACAATCAGATCTAATTATCATGTGTATATCCCATAGTTCATAGCAGTTTCTGTTAGCTCTTAAAAACACC